ATAAAATTGAATTTCAGGATCAATCATTTAGGTACCTCATAAGAATCCTGTCTTCCGTGTGGCCCAGAAATACTTGTTGGTGGACATATGATTTATGGCAGGACTTACATGTTTGTAATCATACTCGCATTAGGGTATTTGATAAGTACTTATAGTGCCTTTTAGAAATATCAAGAGACTTTTTTGTGTAGTAGAAAACTTTTTGTTTACAAATAAGTCTTTAAATTGCAAATATCATGATTATGTTAGGTTTGCTCACATCCCAGTATTAAATTCCTGGCTAAAATGAGACAGCATTATTTAAACCTTAGTGCATCCTCTCTCCATCTTAGAGAATCAGCAATGATAAAGAATATACTGGACTCTTGTTCTGCATATGTTGTACTGTATTATTATTTTGGCTCATCAACCAGTTCAATTGAATTACCATACTCTTTTGTTAAATCATAGAAGAAGTACTAAAGTTCCTGTAGCGTACCTCTCACTGATTAATTACCTAATGCCTCAAGATATAAGAATGATGGAAGTCGAATTGTCACTTTTTGTGATCTTTCTTGTAGTACTGTAAAGTATTTCTTTTTATCATCTTGTCTTTGGCTTTATAGTGTTTCGAGTACACCCTGTACTAGAGAATTCTTTAGAACAACTGGCGCCTCTGAGACACAAAAGACCAGCTATTATTATATTATTATTATAACACAGCTGAAAAAAGTGTTCAGGATTTTCAACGACCTTCCTGAGAGGGATGTCCCTTGCCTTAATTTAACTTAATGACCCGAGTTTTCATTGAAACCTATGTTTACCATATCCTCATGAGGGGAAGAATATACAAAGTACTGTATATTGTGATGGAAAGATTTTAAGGTTAAGTTCTTAGTAGCTATTAATAATTTCTGTTACCTTCCTGGCTTCTTTGGAACGTTGTCTTCTCTGATCAATATCCATTGTTTTCCGTTACATTTTTTTTTTTTTTTTTTTTTATGAATGGACCAAGCAAAAAAAAATGATACTCCTTTAAGGGGGAAAACCATCAAGATCCAGTGATGTATTTGCCTTAAATAGCAGCATCTATATCATTCAGAAATCTTTCTCTTGACAGTTGCAGGGTCCAGATATATGTTGGAAAGATAAATGTGTTTAGTAGTGATCATACTAGGTGGTTTCCTAATACAAAACCATTCGTTTACTCATGATCATAAAATGCGATTTCAGGATCAGACCCATATATACTGTATTGATGTTTAACAAATTTTAAACTTCAGTGCTGTGCATTCCTTTTTTTTCATATTCTGATACTTAGCATAAATATTTTTTTAATTTTCTTATCTTAGCTTTATTATAGTGAATAAATTATTTAGGTTGTAACTTGTGAAGAAACAATGTAAGCAATATATTGCATCTATAACACTTAAAAGCAATAACTTCTTCAGGAGAAGAGTCCAGTGTACCTTTAATTTTATTAAATTTCTTCAAAGGCAAGATTTTATTAATTAAAGCAACATTAATGTCCATCATATAGGCAAAAACTTAGATGTTTCCATGAGAGAAAGTGTAAGATGTGGGTCGTGAGTCCCAACCTAGTGTTTCCCAGATTGACTGAGCTTAGCTGCATTATCAGCATCTCCCACAGCAGACATGCAGGTCTCAGGCTTCAGGTCCCAGGGTTCTGTTGGCTAACTAACCTCCTCATGTTCTTCCCATCCCAGTATGTAGTGAAATGTGTGATCATTGCTGTTAAGACAATTGGCAACATAATGCTCGTCACGTACATTCTCCAGTTCATGTTTGCTGTGATTGGAGTGCAACTTTTCCAGGTAATACAACACTTGCATGCTTCTGCACTTTGCCTCTGCATGGAGAATCCCGTAAAGAGCGCATGATGGTAATGTGGCTTGTGTTTAATATGGCTGCCTTGCTTATTGGTATACTGAGAGGTATGTGTACTCAAACAAGGTTGGGTTTAATCTGAACTCTTGACAGATTATTGGAATATATATAGTAGTTGTCTTGTTTACCTTTGTGCAAGCAAGGAGTGACTACAGCAATTCAGCATATTGAAATGTGGTTTTGCCTTTCATTTTCAGAAATTATCACTTGTGAGATGCTGTTTATATACTGTACACAGATTAAGAAAATAAGCTTGGTAGAGAAATGTGAATTATGAAACACACATATATATATATATATATATATATATATATATATATATATATATATATATATATATATATATATATATATATATATATATATATATATATATATATATATATATATATATATATATATATATATATATATATATATATATATATATATATATATATATATATATATATATATATATATATATATATATATATATATATATATATATATATATATATATATATATATATATATATATATATATATATATATATACTGTATAATATTTTTATTTATTTATTTATTTTTTTTTTTTTAACATTAAGATTTGGACAAGTAGAAAATGTACCCGCTATATGCATTGCAGTAAGCAAATTAATTAATTCTCTAAATCTTTTACATTTTATTAACATTTCTCCATTTTGTTTATATATTTATTGATATTAATTGATAATTTTCCTTCAATGCCTTAGTATCTAGCAAACATAATTTTCAAACATAGAATGTGACATGGGTCATGGCGTGTGATGTTATTCCTTTTATGCGAAGAAGGTATGTTGAAGGTGTATTTATCATGTCTTGTGAAGGATATATTTTACATGTTATACCTTAGCTTCTCTACAAACACTGTACTCCTTGTCACATGTATTGAATGTTTTACAACTGTATAATGTATATAAAATCATAATCCCAGTGTTAATAACAGGTTTGCTAATCCCACCCAGAGATTGATATTTGAAGTTTTTTTCATGCTACATGCACAAAAGCCAAGGCAACAGAATCACTGATTACCTTAGCCTTTGGAGGATTGATTATAGACAAATTTTAATAACTATTTAATGAATACAGTTGTCGGTAACATATGTACAGTACTGTATTTACTGCATATTCCAAACACACTACAAAGGTAATGCCATTTCTTGCAGTACAAGAAATATGTAATAAAAAAAACAGAATCTATTATTTACAGATTTTACTAAGCACTTTTAACTGGTATGACATTTCTTGCACCATAACTTACTTTTAAGTCTTCTCTGTTCCTTATATTCATTCTCCATCCAGCACTCAGTCAAACACAACCCTCACCCTTTAATCACATCCTTCTTCTCCATCAATGTGGAGTTTGGTGTGATCAATTTGAAATACTATTTACTTATTTATAATTACTGTTTTAGTCTTTATGCATCAGATAAAATGTTCGAGATTGTAGTAAAAATTTGGAAATTTTGCAAAATTGGAAACTTCAATAAGAATGTATTAATTGTACACAGTTCTTAGGGGTTAAAGGTCTAGGTGACTTAAAAAATAATAAGTTGTTCAACTTGAGCATTACCAAGCAGTTTGTACCTAATCCATCAGTATTACCCAGCACCTTATACCTAAACCATCTAGTAGATATGAAGTCTCTTTCCTTTCAAGAAATAAAGTTATTGCCTTACACACTGAAGATGATAGTTTTTTAGGTATTTCTGTACAGTATATACATGTGCATCAAAAGCAATTCCATCGTAATCTCAGAATGTGAGTCATGTACGCACACTTTTTTTCTTCAGTCTCGAACATAAATTTTAGTTAATTTGTCTTTACTTTTTGAAGATTTACCAAATTCATATCTAGCCTGAATGTTTCTCCTTTGCAATGAAATACTGAGTGCTATGATTACAGAAAGTGAAATACTGAGAGAAAGAAGAGTAAGAGTATACTGTAGTACAGTACAGTACAGTAACTCCTCAGCTGTAAAAACCTCAGTACAGTAATCTGTAACTTAGTGGAATATTAAACACTCTTTCATTGGCATGTTAAACACAAAGGACATTATATTTAAACAGGGGCATTATAAGAATTAGAGTGTAGTGAAGGTGCATACCATTTTTCTCATTGCTTCTGCATAACTTAAGTTGAAGTTACTTATATAAAGTGTAAAATACTCTTCAGAATATAGTTAAAATTATTAATTACAGGATAGACTTGTTGGAACAATGATTTCATGCAGTAAAAAACACAGGAATAAGATATGAAAATGTTATGTTTGAAACTATTTTAAGTATATTAATGCAAAATCAATAATAGCTGATCATATAGAACACTGTGCCATATAAGAAAAAGTAAAGAAATTCAAAGTACTGTATTGGAAAAATAATAATTCAATGGTAGAATGTTAAATGGTTGACTGACTGCCTTGCTATGTCTGCAGTAGTACCCTGGCTTTTGGCCCTTATTCAAAAGATGTTTTTAAGAGAAACAATCTAATTGGGATGCTATTAACCAGTGGTACATAGAATTTTATTATATATTCACTTGTTCCCTTTGCTTATAACAAACTTAAGTGTCTTTGTTATCTCATCATCTCAGGAGAAAATAAAACCCATGTGAGTGTATTCATGAGTACACACCACATTGTTATCATTTGATCTATAAATCCTGCCTCTTGAATCTAAGCCAAAATAATATAGTCTTTTTCAGTTTTCATTCACCCTTCATATCATCTATACTGAAAAAAATACACACCCCAAGCATGAGAAGTGTTAAAAAAAAGAGCCAATCCTTCACACACATTTGTAGTTTGTCAAAATCCTGAGGTTGAGATGCAAATAGTTAAGGTCACTTTGTCTAGTTATTAAGATAGATTTAATCCTTTCAAGTACTGATTATTCTCATGTGGTCATTAATTCTATTGAAAAGAATGAAACACAGATGTTGTCATTATGCCAACTTTTTATTAATTATTAATTTAAAAAGTTTTAAGAAAATCTTAGTAATCATCCAGAAAGTGATAATTTCTTATTTCAGTAATAAATTTTTAGAAAAACTTTGACTAATGGAAGGTGTTGTATATTTTTATGCATCGCCAGGGCAAGTTCTTCCGCTGTAACGACAGGTCCAAAGCCTTGGAGACCGATTGTAGGTAAGTAGATCTTCACACTCATGACTCGAATCTTATCCTTATGATATTAACTGATCTTACTATCTTTTAGGGGAAGTTCTTCAGATGCAATGATAGTTCCAAATCGGTCGAGGCAGAATGCCAGTAAGTAATTCAAATTGGCTGTAAGTAAACGTGAGACCCTGACATAGCACTGTTTGGAATTACAGTATAAGCATGATGGATTCTGAAGGTGATGTCATCAGGACATAATATTCAGTGTATTTTTATATTCATTTAGTATCCATATGCAAAGCTTTAGAAGAGTGTGGTTGGAGATTTATTTTTCTCTGAGAATTATCATAAAGTGTTGGTGGTAATGACTTAACCATTATTATTATTAATATTACTATTTTTTATTATTATTATTAGTAGTAGTATTATTAGTATTAGTATTATTATTTAAAAATTCAGGCACCTTAGTGAAGCATTGTTTAAGTTTTATGGTCTCATGATCTTGGTTTTGTCCACAAACTGTATTGTTTTTTTCTATATTCTATTTTATCAAAACAAAAACAGATAAATTCCAATGATTGAATTCAAGTTACTACAAGTGTAAGAAAAAGTTGTCAGATGAAATAATAATATCTTAATTACATATCAGTTTAAGGGTTACTTGGCTTAGTAACAGCGTGGATTTCCAGCCCATAGGATGCAATTTTAGTTTTGTGCTAGGTAAAATTGATGGACATTATTCTGCTATGGTTTGTACTGAGTTGGCCATGAACCATATTAGCACCCTGGAGTAAGCTAACCTAACCTACCTGGTGGTTGCTATCTGACAACTACTAATGTGGAATTTTATGAGGGTGGATGATGGGGAGCGGATGACCAAGGAGATAGAAGGATGGGGTGAAGAATGGACAAGAAGTGAGGGGAATGGACATCTAAGAAGAATCAATATAAGTGAATGACTAGTGAGCTTCTGGGAACATTGCATCAAGTGATTTTAGGGGATAGACATGCAGCTGGGTAGAATTTCTTAAGCTGGATGCAGTCACAGCTATAAACCAGATAAATATTTGGAATTTTGTTGTGGAAGGAAAATATCATGGCAGAACACAATCTGTTATACCAGAAAGAATAATTGAATGAATCCTGCCACCCTGCATTGTTGTGGGTAGTGCTTGGAAGAGCGAGTATATTTCAACTAAACATGGAGAAGGAATCAGTGAATGTCATGGTTTTCTGTTGGTCTTCCTGTTTAGGCTTGACTATAAATATAGTTTTCTGGAGTTGGGTAAGAATTGCCTCATTTACACTTGCAGGTTTTATGAGTTTCATCCAATGGGCACTGACCATGTAGTACCTCTTAGGGTTTTATCTAGTTAAGAGAAAGTAATGAGAATTAGTGTTAATTTATATGAAACTGAAGTAAATCATTTTGATTTATACAACCGTAGATACCATACCATTAGAATTTTTTCCACCGGTCAGAATCCATCTGCAGTTCCCATGCATCATTTTATATACTACTGGATTTTTTAATTCATCACAAAGTGGACTAACTTTTCAATTTTCTGAAATTATTCCTGCCATTTGAACTAATTTCTAAATTTTTGAGGGTGTCTTTTGCTGTTTCTCCCAAAGAGTGAAATAACTGCTGCATTCTTGAGGTTTTCTCTATAATGATGAAATTTATTCCTCTAATGTTTGTTCAATTTGGGTTGTCGTTGAATCTTAATCAAAATTCCCTGTATTGGATTTATTCACCCCATTTTCTTTTCAGACTATTTGGTTTTTATTTGTATTATCATTCTAATTTTCAGCATAGTGTTCCAGCTTAAGGTTTCAAAATATCCCAGACAAATAAAATCCAGCATAATTAGGCTGATTAATGTTCAATACAGTTCACTTGTAAACAAGATAGTAACTATTAACATAACTGATACAAAACATTGCCTTTGACTATTGTATGCCATTACTTATACATTTGATAATACTGTATATCAACTTTTTAACTGAGATTTCTTTGTGTTGAAGAGAATGTAGGTGATATCAGTGAATGCAGCCCACAGTATACAATTGCATTAACATTTGCATAAACTAGATATAATTTATCCTCCATATGAAGAAGCACATTGGCTGAGACGAGTAACATACTCATTTGTGTGTAGTGATCATTCCTTCATCACTCATATATGAACCAAACACACAGGAATTCTCTTACATGATTGCATGGTTTTAGACATTATTACTAGTTATCTTAAGTCATAATTTATTATTTTTTAAAGATTATAGAAGCCATAAAATTGGTTTGAATTTGTTCTGTAATTTGTAATAGGAATTTTAATTTTTATTTAATTTAATCAAGTATACTGTACTGTGTTACAGAATTATCAGTATTTAGCTTGTTTAATCTTTCCCCACTTTTGTATGTAGTGGTTCAAGAAATATAGAAACCTTAAGATATGAGGTAAATGATAAGGAAGAGTAATGCTAGACTAAGGTTATCTTCATTCCTAAGTGTATCAGTCCTGAACATCTGTACTATTTCAAAGAATGTCCATTTCCCATCACTGATTTATTATTAGAGTACATTGAATCTCACTTCTACATGACAGAGTTGGATTAAGGACTCCTTTATGTATCAATTTTCACATTCTACACTCCAGTTCTTCCCTTTAAGTAATGCTCTCAGGGCTCCACTTTTTCATCTTCCTTAAATTACTCTAATTGAGCTTTTTTATTTACTGTACTGTATTATCTTTATTTTTTAACATTTTTCCCAAATACACAAATTTAATCACAGCCACTTGCTCTTTTCTATAGAAAGTGACATTGTACATAGAGAATAATATTCCATTTTCAATCACCTTACTCATTCCAAGGGTTTTCCTTTTACATTCTTCTCCTGCAAACTTCATCAAAATATTCTACAGTAAACTCATATACAGTATACATAATTTTTATGGCTGCACTGTATTTGGTGTTAATACAATATGCAGTACAAATATAGGTTCTTTTTATTTCTATGGATTTCTCTGCATAAAGTAGTCACTTCAGCACTAACTTATATAACAACTTGGCTGAGGCATCCAGGTAGCCAATGAGCATGAGTCAGTGTACCCCAATGGTGGATGGTACTGAAATAATTTACTTCATTATCATCCACTTTTTTTGTGTGTGTACTGGGCATGTACTGGCTCTAGATTGTATCTAAACCTGTGCCAGTCTTGAATAAGTCTGGTCTTGAATTGAGCTCTCACTCAGTGCCATCACAACACTTTCTGGCAGACTTTTCAAGGAGTTAATGTCTCTTACTCCAAAAAATATTTGCCCTGACAATTTTCTGAACTTGGGACTTCTCCAACCTTAGGTCATAACCTCTAGTGGGGCAGGCACCCGCTAGTTTCAGATATGAACACTCAACTGAGTGATTTCCTCTGTGGTGCTTATAGAACAATGCATACATATTATATCACGTCTTTAAAAATTCATTAGAAATCCATTTTGGGTTTATCAGTGCATTATTTGGTTTAAAATACATTAAATATTCTATCCAGTCTTTGGAAAAAAATTATAGTTTTGATTATGTCTATAAATATTTATATTGACAATCAACAAACTTGCTTCATAGTGATGTTTATGTTTTACTGAATTTTTTTGTCTGTATTATACAGTATAATAGTGCTATCATATGTAAATTAATATTGTACTGTATATACAAAAGAAATTTATCTTTGAGCTAAAATAGCATGAAAATCTTTTAATTTACATGATATAATCAATTATGCATGACAAATTAACAGTAGTGTGTACCTAGTTCACCGGGACCCCCCCCCCCCTGGGTGCCCAAGTGTTTCAATTTGTTTATGTCTTCCAACATATTATACGATATACTGTATGGGTTCTTTCTACTGTCCTGGCAATAGTCATCACTAAACACACTCACCATCGGGGATGGGACGGTAGCCACTCCTTATACAGTATAATAATTTGACAGTTTATTATAAATTATCAAATATAAGTGGAAAACAACTGAAAATTAAAAAAATTAAATTTAAGCAATAACAGTGGTATATACCTAGTAATACTGTACCTCGATACTCCGGACTTCAGTACAACGTAATTCACTTTTTTGGGACTGAAGTGCTCTGGACTGCCCCTCTATTCACCAGAAATATTTTAAAAAGTCCAAAAAATCTGGCATCAGTCTGGTTGGTTTGTGTGTTCGTACGTGTAGTTGAATGTCTGTGCATGGGTGTCGCACTGCACGTGTCTCATTCCAAGTCCTGCCTTCATATTTATCGTATCAGTGTACCACACCTCACTACCTACACTCCTTTATGTGACCGTCTTATGAAGAGTACATAGTATCTTTAACAGGGATACTTGAGGGTTCTTAGAAATGAGTTGAAATAATGTAGAGTACAGTGGGGTATGCTATAACGAGCGGATCCTACTACGAATATTCCTATAACGAACGGTTTTACCTATAAATTGAGAATGCTATAACGAACGAAACTCCTACAACGAACATTATTTAATTTTTTTTTTTTTTTTTTACTAATTTATTGTTTTTATTACATTACATTTAATGATATTCTTTATTTCAGGGGTTTAGATGCATATTTATGCACTTTTTTACAATTTTTACAATTTTATATTATATTTTTCAGTGTTAAGTGGTTGTATTTGGGGGCCTGGAACGGATTATTCCTATAACGTACGAATGCTATAACGAACAAGGTTCTAGAACCAATTAGATTCGTTATAGCATACCCCACTGTACTGTTCTGTGCTTATGAAAAGAACAACATTTGCTCACTGAATAGTGTACAGTGGTATAATCAGATTTTCTGTAGGCCTAATGAGTCATCCTACCTCACTTTGTGAACATCGTACCTTGCTGGCAATGCTTGATCAACTTTGCTGCCAGCCCACACAGACTGTTTAGCGCTCAATTTAAATGGCGTAAATAAAAAAAATATATATCCCCGTAAATTAAAAATTGGTATAAATACAACACCTGCATTATT